TATATATATATATATATATAGAAATAAAATAAAAGTTTATTATAGAACATTGTAAGACAAACAGAAAGAATTTTGGAACTGTGTTAAAAGATAATAAAATATAGAAATAAAACAAAAAATTAGAATATAATATAATACATATACATTCTTTTGTCAACTGCATATAAAGAATAAAAATGTAAGAGACCACACTGGTGGTTAAAGAAGTGAACTCATTATAATCACAATAAAAACTGGGAGCCTATATTTTACGACAAAAAAAAAATGAGGATACGCACACAACGATGACACAGAATGATGATACGTAACGGTGATAAAATACGAGCAAAAGCAACAAATGGATACCCATCTAAAGAGTTCACGTTGTCCTTATTGAGTTCGTTTCGGTATCATTAGTCTGACGGATAGTATTATTGATTTTCTTAAACAAGGAGAGGAGGAGGATTCTCACACAATGCCCCATTTAAAATAATTTCTTTAATTTTCCTTTTGCCTTTGTTCTACTATCATCCATACTTCTTTCTTTGCTTCTTTTCTTTGTCTCTTATATTTATTTGTTTTATTTTTTCTTTTTTATTTGTTCAGATATGCTGGACCAAATACGGCAAAAATAAACGACGCAGCTTCGTACAGTTACCAATCGTATATGGCAACAAATCGTAGTGTGATCTATGCTTACATCGATGGTAGAGGATCATCGAACAAGGGTAGCAAAATGCTTTTCGAAATTTATAGAAATTTAGGTACCGTCGAAGTCGAGGATCAAATTACCGTAACTAGGTAAATAAATTATTAAAATGTAGATATATTTGAATGATTAATCGATTTATTAATCGTAATCGATGTTAAATTATTCTGAAATTTCTGCATTTTTCTTTTTAGAAAACTTCAAGAAATGTATCCCTGGATCGATTCTAAAAGAACGGGTATCTGGGGTTGGAGTTACGGTGGTTTCTCTACGGCCATGGTATTGGCTAAAGACACGGATTCCGTTTTCAAGTGCGGAATATCCGTGGCACCAGTATCTTCTTGGATTTATTACGGTGAGTAACAGTATTTTAATAAAATTGTGTCTACATTGCTTTTCGCATCTTTCATTATAATGAGAAATTGTTCTTTAATTAAAACAATCCCGTTTTTCCTATTTATTTTATTGAAATAACATTTATTCAGTCTCAAAGAAACATCATTTATTATTTTACATTTTTATTTGTAACTTTCAAAGGTTTTTATTTGTTCACAATATTTACGTTCGATTTATCCAATATATAGATATTAAATATTAAATTTGAAATACGATATGTGTGGCGCTGAGTGTATACAATATCCAACGGCGTATTATAAAAACGCTGCAAATTTTATATTCTAATTTTTGTATTTCAATTAAATCTAATTAATAATTGTAAAAAATAGAACTGCATAATCTTTATGAAATTCTTGATTGGAAGTGTTGTCAGATAGTTTGTACGGGTTTCAACCTTTTATTATAATGTTTGCTTAAATGTTCCAGTTTCTTTGTTAATCTGTAAATTCAATATGTACAGACGTATGTTTAAATAATGTTTAAATAATCTTTAAGTTTGAATCATTAGTAATTCTCAAATAGGTCAGATATATAATAGTCATTTGAAAATTTTGGTGTCTAAAAGAATAATTGATATTTTTTCGATCAAATCTAGTTCTACTTTTAAACATAATCTTCTCTTAATTCATACTTTCATTTTAGTGATGCTGCAACTTTTTAAATTCGGTCAAATAGTAATTTTTGTACATGAAGAAAAATTATACCGTTAATTACAACAGTGGACTAAATAAAAAAAAAGAAAGTAAAAAAAATTAATTTTATGATTTATATCATAATACACAATTAATTCTAAAATAAAATAAATTCCTTAAATCAATTTTGTTCAACATACAAATAGTCTACTATCATAATTACCGATATAATTAAGTATTACATAATTTTCGGAAAAAGGGTATTAACTTAAAAGAAAGATATAATAAAAAATACTAGTTTTTCTTGTTAGGCTAAAAAATTTTCAAATAATCCTCGTAAATAAAATATTTTTTGTTAGAAATATAATTCGAAATAAAACTTTTAAAACTACAAATTAATATAAATAAATTTACAGATTCCGTTTATACTGAAAGATTCATGGGTCTTCCAACACCAGAAGATAATCTTAAAGGTTACAATGGAACAGACGTATCTAGACGAGTGGAGGGTATTCGTGGGAAGAAATTTATGTTGATACATGGTACTGGTGACGATAATGTTCATTATCAACAGTCATTGGCATTGGCAAAGTCCCTTGAGGAATCTGATATATTGTTCGAACAAATTACCTACACGGATGAAGCACATGCGCTGTATGGTGTTTTACCACACCTTTATCATTCGATGGATAGATTTTGGAGTGAATGTTTTAGTTGGTCTAATGCTTACTGATGCAAATAATTCTTTTTCTTCGATGATCGAAGAATTTATGACATCAGGGAAAATAGAATAATCGAGAAGGAAACGTCATAGAGGAAGATTTGTGTTGTTTAAAAAAAAAAAAAACGATACGTAAGAAAACATATCAGGGTGAATTTCGGGATACATTTATCTCGTAAATATTCAATTGTATTTTTGATTCGATTCAAATCGGATCGTAGCTATTGATTAAATTTGTTAATTGAACTTTTTTTCTCGAGCACGTGAAAGAGAATGAATTATATATATGTAGAGAGAGAGAGAGATTGTTTGTTGTTGTTTTCGATATATTTTAGGTCTTTGATAATTTTTTCAAATTATTTCTAAAATAATCTTTTTTTTTTATTGTTTAAATTTTCATTTGGAGAATATTTTCACACATTGTACAGAATTAAAAATTAATTTCTAATAAATACATATATATGAATTTTGAAAATCTGAATTAAGATATTCGTAAAATTTTCGATGGAGACATATGAACATATAAAAATATACCTGCAGTATGCCAATTTGTTCAACTACGTGGAACATTTAACATCGTTGTACGTTCCTTTTTAGTAAAAATAATATCAAACTGGCAAGAGTACAATTCGATGGCCGTTATTCCTTGCCAAAAGATGATCCGCTTGTTCGTACATTCGTTCTCCACTATTGTTCGTATGTATACTGGTCAAAGGAACTTTTCGTGAAATTTAATCAATTCGTCCGTCATCGTTTTTGTATATATCCAACGTCAAACGAGAAGGTGAATTTTCGGAGCGGCCCACTGACCTGGAATTCGAAGCAACGAGGGAAGAAAAATTTGTTAAAACGAAAAAAGTTTGTCTAAGACTTTTATCGTATGTGTGTATGTATGTACGTATGTGTATACAGGTCTAAGGAACAGAAAAAGATGGAAAGAACATTTTTTTGTTTTTTCTTTTTTTACTGAAGTTCGAAGCACAGATATAATATAGAATTGGTTCAAAACAACATCGCAGCTCACGCTGATACATTTCCACAGGATTTTCTTTTCCGTTGTCTGAAAAATTGGTAGAAAACATCCTGGATTATCGATATTGTATCGAAAAGTTTTTTTGGTTTACCGTAAAATTTGTAACAATTTTTAAAGAAAGTTTAAAGCAACGTTTTGTATACGTGTAAGGATTTAAAGATTTTTTAAGCCTTACATTGAAACAATTCTGTTTTTCATTAATATTCACTTGTATTAAAAAAAAAAAAGAAATAAAAAAGTAATAAGTTTCTTTTTTGTTCAGGCTCAAAAACCTTTCAAACTTATTTTTATATTTACTTATCAGAAATTAGAGAAACATAATTAAACAGTTCAATAACACCTTCATGATTATCTCACTTATTTACGAAAGATTATATAAAAACAATTAATTAATATAATTTTGATTTAGTAATAAATATAATTGTTAATTACAAATATTAAGTTATAATTATCTTATTGTCAATACATGTTGAAATTTATTTCACGTAACGAGCAGAGTACGATTGATGATTTATCAAGAAAAAAAAAAGAAAAAGAATAAATAAATATTAAATATTAAAAATTAAATATATGTGTTAATTAATGATTAAATAATGGTCAATACCATTATAATGTTTCATAAAGTTGATTATTCTCATGGTTACAAAAATCCCATTTAAATTGCATTAAAGATGGGATTACATTAAAATCATGACGGTATCAGTGAAAGATTAAACATCTACCATCCATTAAGTTTCTTCATTTGAGCTTTTGCATTTGTCTGCTGCCGTGGCACGATTTCATCTTTAGATTCTTGTTTTATTTTTTTCCTTTTTAATGTTAGAAAGTCGAAGGGGATGATGGGTGGTGAGGGTGCTGGTAGAAGAGGGTAAAATGGTAAGGTCTTATAGGGCCTCGTTCTTTGTCACAGAAAACAATAGCTGGCATGGTTTTGTGAAGGGTCTCTTTACTTCGCTGCTTTTTGTGAATTTAGGGATATGAGAATAAAAAAGAAGAAAAGGGGTTGAAGTAGAGAAGGAAAAAGAAAGAGAAAAGAGAGAGAGAAAGAGAGAGAGAAAGAAAGAGAGAGAAAAAGAGAAATATGTTAGGTAGACGTAGACGTAGACGTAGAACTGTTTCTACTTTCGTATGGTTAGGATTTGAGTTTGTATTTGTTTGTACGATGTCACGTAAACAAACGTTTTTTTTCATTTCGACTAAACGACATCTAAAAGGACTGTCAAATATTGATACACATAACATTCTCGACTCTCTTTCAAACTCAAAATATACTCGTAAATATGTTTAAAAACTTTGATCGTGTTCAGTGAATGCAGAACTATGTATTTTTCTTATTTTTTTTTGAGTTGAGATACGATTGTCTTTATAGTAATATTTTTTAACGTTTGGATGTTATGAATATAATATTATGTAGTAACATGTTCAATCGTGGGTAATGCATAATTTTGAAAAGGGGAGACTTTATCTTTTAAAAATTTAAATCAGATAAAAGTAGGTACATTAATTTTTTATAGTTTTACCAGTAGACGTATACTCTGTAATAATAATTTATATGCTAAATTATGACTAAAAATTTATTTTCGGATATTCTGGGTTGTAACATATATATATATATTCGTCTCGTACTTTAGAATTTTTGAAAATGGAAGAAATGGTGCATATGTTACAAAACCTAATATTTTTTTCTTATGATTTATGAATTAAACATTTATTTTTTTATTCGTCGCGTATTTTGGAGATTTTATTCTTAAATTTTATTTTCTATTTTGCTATTAACGAAATTTACTTATTTTTTTGTTAATACAACAATTATAATATATATAAATATAACAACAAAAATATTTTTCAAAGGTTCGAAAAATCATGCATAATACTGTAGTTTTATATTTATTATCTTTTTTTATTTGGAATATATAAAACGAGACGAATATAATATTATAATTTAATAATTTTTGTTCATTATCCAATATAAATCAAAAATCTATTTCCAAATAAATATATTTTTATTTATATTTCCTTTTGCAGAATATAAATACAACCTATTATATTTTTTTATTATCTATAAATCAAAAATGTGTATTTTGAAATAAATGAATTTCTTGCGTTTTCATTTATTTCTTACTTTTAGAAGAATAATATCTCGAATATTTAAACAGAATAATAAAATGTTCTATTTGTTATCTAGTAGAAATTTAACGTAACTATTTGATAGTCGTTATACGAGATATCAGTGACCTCGCGTATAAAAGGTGTCAAGATAGTATACAATTCAAAAAGCAATGGATAAGTCATATAGATAGTTGACCTGCTTCTTCGTTTATTACAATCATAAAAGTCTAATGTAAGAGGGTCTGCGTTTCATTTTGCTCGTCGTGGTCCAAGTAGTCCTCTACTTTTAGATGGTTAAAGGGTAGATGAGTTTGATTGGACGTTAGCGTTGGTAAAGCTAGTGGTTTGCGGTGTCGAAGATGAGAGGTAGGAGAAAGAGAAGAAGACTGTTAAATGCCACCTGCACAGCCAATTTTCGTACCTATAAAACTTCGTTAAATTAGTCTGAAAACGCGTTTCCTTTACATTTTACATTTCCTTTTTTAAAATAAGATATCTACCTATATATCCATTTACGGAAATATATAATATATAAAAAAATTTCTTTTTCCTTTTAAAATTTTTCTTTAAACCTCTCTCGCTTTTTTTCCTTTTTTTTTTTCTTCTTCTACTTATTATTCAGTTATCAATCACGAAACTTTTCGGTATGTTAAATTGTTACTTTAACTTTAATGTAATCAAGAAATAAGATCTTACGTGCATTGTTAATAATAGATTTATCATGTTTGTCATATCACAGTGATCTATCACGCAACGATAGCTTACACTTGTTTGTTGGAATTTGTACACGATCGTGTGGTGCTACTTGTTGCTCTAGCTTTGGAAAGGTATCGAACGATAAATAAAAATGACTATTACTTGTTACGATTTTAAAAAGTTCATCTAAGGAATTGAAAGATTCCACGATGAAATTCGGTTACGTTAATTAAGGTTCTTCCAATTTTTTGATCGAACGATTTAATTACATATATTTGGCCTCTTTTTAATTTAAACGGGCTCATTGCAGGTTTTCTTTTTTCTTTTCAACAAAAATAAAATAATGATAATGATAATGATTAAGAAAAATTAAAATAAATTTCATTGGTTGTTGATGTTGGTAATTTAATATGAAGCGATATATTTTTTTTCTTTTTATTATTTTACTTTATATTATTTTTCAATGTTAAAATAATATTTTTCAGCATATTAACTTATGCAATGAATTTTGCGATTGCGTATAAAAAATAATGTCGGTATAAAAAGTGTCACGTAATAAGGGAATATGAATGTATTTTAAAATAGAAAATTAAAAAAAAAAAATAATTGTTTCTTTGAAGAGATGAAAGTGTGAAAAATTACGGTTTGTCAGTGATTTAGTGGATCAAACTCGTACTTAAAGTCACAGTTCAGGGTCATTACATTTCTATTTCTTTCTCTTTATCTTTCTATTTCTTGCTATATTTCGAGCAAGCACTAAAGTACAGCATATCCGTGCAGTAAAGTGACTGATGCTACGAAGACACGCGAATTATATTTCTACTCGTTGTCACAGTTTAAAACGTTTCAAATTTTTCACGATATTATTTTTTATTATTTTCCCACGACTCTCCCTATTCGACATCTTTTATCACCTCTTTTTTTTATTATTAATTTTTTTCTTTTTTTTTACACGTATAATAATACATATAGTGACTTTTAAAAATATTCAGATATTGAAGTATGAATAAATTTTTTACCTAATATCACGGTTGTTTATAAAATGTAATTATTGTTTTTTACAATAGGTCATTTATTAATCTTGCTATACGTAGATAATTTATTTTTATAATTTAAATATATTGTATGATAAAAATTATTAAAACAATTAATGTAATATTACGAGAGAATGTAATATTCTAGAACTATATTTTGTCATATAGGGTTGGAAACTTGATTTTCATTGACGGGATTATTGCTACAAATCTTTACTTAAACATACTTTAAAACAATTTACTTTGAAGTGCCGAAAAAATGAGAAGTAATAATATTTTTAAGTTTTATTAATTGTAAGACAAGAACAAGTTCAAAAAAGGCATGCATTTTTTGTAAAAGTTCTTATTAAACAAATAATACAAAATTATTCATCTCTAACCACAGTCATCAAACCATAATCTCATTGAAAATTTACACAATTAATTAAATAAGAGAATTCAGAAACCTCCAATTTGTTTTCAATAGGTGAATTAAAACAAAAACCCGAAAATGAATAAGCAATTATAACAACATAAAATTTGTCAAAAATTAGAAATAATATGTCAAACAGATAAAAATATGTTCTAAACTCAAAATGATTAAGCTATTAAGTATTAA